ATAACCAAGCAAAGGGGATTGCTGCGACAAATCATCAAGAGCATGCATTGTAATTGTATACCCTTCCCTGGTTCCTGCAGCAAAAGGGCAGATTGGATTGAGCTACAAAATTTCCCCATTTATATGCGAGATGGATTGATCAAGTTACGCAATGACGAATAAGGACCTAATGGAACCATAAATGGGTGAGAAATTTGCATTGTTAGGGTACCACCGGGCACGCAGCAAATGAATACAGGGATGAAAAGGTGGAATTTTGATTTGATCCCTCGAGGGGAAGACAGATCCCCAAGAACGGAACAGCCCATCGAATCAAAGCAAGGGTTCCTTACCAGGGGAAACGGGGAGAACTCGACCCAAGCCGGCCACACCGGCGTGATCCGCCCACGGCGGCGGCCGCCAACGCCGGCGAGCTCCGGCAGCTACGCGCGGGGGACGGGCGCGCGCGAGTCCTACGCCGGAAGGCGCTGGCGGCACCTCGCCCTCTCAACCGCGGCGACGATGCCGCGCTCCTCGTCAAAATTTCTCCTTTTCTTTCTTTGTTTTTTTTTTACCTCCTTTTCCTTTTTCTTTGGTGGCGGTGGCGGGGGAGGGCGGGCGAGCCGCGAGCGGACGGCGACGACGGGACGAAGCAGTGGGCGGTGCAGTGATCGAAGCCACCAAACAAGCCAGCGACGAGTGGTTTCCTCCGCTAAAAGGCACTCATGGCCTCCGACCAGGGGATTTGATTGCAGCCACAGAAAAAAGGCAGGACGACCCCGTTTGACAATTACGTTATGATTTGCCAAATTAAGGGCGGTGGCGAACGGCGTGCCAGGTCGCTGGTCGCTGCTGCCGCCCCTTGCTTGCTTCTTGCCGCCGCGTTTTGCACTTGCCTCTTAGCCAGGCCGAGAAGTAAGTGAATATGGAATTGACTTACCAGTTTTGGTATAGTATTTTTCTCTCACAATAAATCATTGAATAATACTTTTTAGTCTGGTTTTTCAACGAATCGAACGTGTCTTTGCACGGTATCCTAGTGCTTGGTCGGTGAAGACACATTGTCAGCAGGTGCTTTCGTGCTAAGGATGCACTTTGATGGAACTGTTCTCTAGAGATATATTCTCCTCACGAATTTTCATCAAGAAGACAAAACCGACTTTTTCTCAACAGAGTGTTTGTACCATGTGAAGTTGTGACCCCACCTTAAATTATGCCCCTTCATTCTAGAAATGATGTAATTCTAGCATATTGCTAAGTCAAACTATTATGACTTTAATTAAATATATACTCCCTCTATTTCAAAATATAAGATATCTTGGTTTTTCTAGATATATATATTTTTTGATATGCACTTAGGAGTACACTATATCTAAATACCTAGTAAAAGTAATGTATGTAGAAAACAAGATATCTTAAAGCTTGGAATGGATTGGGTATAAAGTTATAATGATACTAATATCTATCATACTAACTAACATTAGATTCACCATGTACAATATTTTCACAGTATTACCAATTCGATTCATAAATATCAATAGTATTTTCTGTAGATTAGTTAAATCTAAGATAGTGTGTCTAATACCAACCATACATTGCATCATTTCTGGGGTGAAGGCAGCATGTATTGTCTCCATCCTTTAACATTTGATAAATTAAAAAAAAATAGCTTCAAATATTAAAAAGGAAGTGGTATCATATTTTCTTTTTCATTGTTTTTTTGAAAGATTTTCTTTTTCATTGTTGGATTGTAATTAACAAATAAAATTTACAGAGAAAACGCTCACTATGAAATGATTCATGGCGTGGCCCCATTCGCTGGTCTGAAATTTGGCTAAAACTGGCTGAAAAACACTGTTCTGGCTGAAATGTTGTGAGAGAAAAATACTGTTTCGGCTGAAAAAAGAAGTCGAATAAGCTAAGTTTCAAACCAGCCGAACGAGGCCATTAAATGAACGGCAAAAGTGTTTCTTATGTAAATTGAAAAAAGAAAATGCCTCATTGACTTGCTGGGCTACTAGATAGCGTGCTGAAATATTTTCTTCAGCCGTTTGACAATTAGACAAAAAGGAAGAGGGAGAGGATAGGCATTGCTCAAACTTTTCTTAACTTCCTGCCGACCAGCTTTGCTCAACGGGCGTTGTCCTTCCTTTGCTTCGTTTCGTCCAAGAAATTTTGAAAACGGTGGAAATTTCTTCGGAAGTGGAACGTTCCAGAAACGGAGAAGATAAACTGCCACGTCGGATCCGTGTGGACAGAGGACAGTGGACAGCTATCTACAGTAGCAGCTTGTGGGCTAGGCCTAAAAAAGCATGGAACTTTTCAGTCCGTCTACCAACGTTCGCTGGCAGAGTCAGGCTGGTTTCGGGCCGGACCAGGTGCAGTTGAAAAATGCTCTGGGCCTGCTTGGATCTCTAGAATTAAAAATTGTTTCAGGAATTATATTCAGCAAGAAATTGATTAGCTAGAATTTGATCCAATTCATTTCTTTTCTGTTTGGGTGTACCTGAATCCTACTTTAAACATCTACGCACCGTCATCATGACACCAACCCGAGCGAGAAGAGACCAAAGCCAAGCAATTTTAAGCTTTCTTTCGACCATGTTTGCTTGAACTTTAAACATCTACGCACCATCACGGGTTCTGGCCCATGACGGCTAGTTTGAGTGCCCCCTCTATATACAAAGGGGGTGGTTGGCTAAAGGGCTGGTGGAACACATTGGGGACTTTGTGTCCACCCTTGTAGAAGTGTTCTAGCCTCACTAACTCACACATGCGTAGTGGTGATTGCATCCGATTGTGATTAAGTGATTCCTAGTGCCGTGCATTGAGAGATTACAAGAGTTTGCACTAGGTGATCGTGTTGCAAGCCAGGTCATTGTTTGCTACTCTTGGAGGTTGCCACCTTCTAGACAACTTGGAGGTTTGGGGACTTCGTCGTAGCACACACGGGGATTGTGCGGTGCTCTGTAGAGACCGTGATGTTGAGGAGTGTTGTGCTCGCCCTGCGAAAGCTCGCGAAGAACAACTCTAGTAGAAGCGAGGTGTGAAGAGCACCAAGTGGTTTTCTGTATCAAGTGCTAGAGCTCTAGTTGTGAGCACTCCCTTTGGTGGAGAGAGTGAGCTTGTGGGTTCACCACTAGCAAGAGGATTGGCGGTAACCTTAGGCTTGCATCAATGGGGATTAAGTGGTTGGCAAACCACCGAACCTTGGATAAAAATCATCGTGTCATCATTGTCTTTCTGTTGGTTTGCAAATCCCTAACACCAGCTTGTATTACTTGTACTAGTGTTGTTGCTCGTGCGTAGCTAGTTAACTTGTGTAATTAATTAGTTGCTTCCGTGCTAGTTAGCTTGTGTAGCTAAGTCGTTGCTTCTGTGCTAGTTAGCTGGTATAGCTAAGTTGGTGTAACTCTCTAGTTGTGCTTGTATAGTGTAACTAGTGATCAGTGCTAGCAGTGGTTGTGCTTTGTGCGTTTTGCTTACTAGCATATGTAGGAGCTTTCGATGTGCTTAGTTGATTAGTGGTATAGGTTCGTGTGACCTTACTAAATAGATTTGGTTAGGTAAGCTATACATTGTTTAGAATCTTTGATAAGGTGCTTGTTTAGGTGAGCTCCCTCTATCTATTTCGATTGACAATTCAACTCATGAGTACGGGTACCCGTGGATATCATATTCAATGAGCGCTGAGTACGGATGCAAATTGTTACCTTTGGGTACGAACTCGGTTACGGAAGTTTACCTGCTAGGTAATTTGTTAGTGATGAATATTTACTTTACCGACAACTCCGTCCACTGCCATCCCCACCGCCAGGGCAGGGGGAGGAGATTGGAGAGGATACATGCAGTCTGAAATAGCGTTTCGGAATTAAAATATGGACGAGATGTAGAGTAAACTGAGAAAAACGACAACGTTCATCACCTCTGGTGAAAGGTAATTGGGTATATATGGTACATCCCGTCAGTGTTATTAGTGACGGGCCACTTTCCACCTCTGACCAAGGTCACGGTTGTCCTTAAGCCACATCGGCTGTCTTCATTGACGCACAACTAAATATCCATCACTTTCTTCAGTTAAGGTGTGTTTGGCTCAAGGGTGAAGTTAGATGGGACATGACGATTCATAGATATTGGGATAGGACCATGTTATATGTTTGGTTAGATGAATGGGACGAATCATTTTTCTGTTTGGTTAAATGAATGAAAATGGATGGGATGAAGATAGTTGACTAATTATATCTATTATTTAAAAATAATAACAACTAATTAGAAACTAATAAATATGCCATAATACTAATTTTCTCATGATAATCACTAATTAAAAATAAAATATGTTAATTGGCAGGACTAATATCCTAATTGGCAAAAAAAAACATGCACTAATCAACATAATAGCACTTATCAAAATTAATCTTACCATCATAATTACTAAATAATAATATAACATACTAATAATCCTTATTTTATTTACTAATGACAAAGATTAGAAGACATGGACAAACTTGTTCAACCGATTTTTATGGGCGAGCTTAGCCAGCATCAATAGAGAATATTCTCCTGTGGTGGATATCCCTGTCCAAGTCGCCCACGAACCAAACATGACTCATCCATACACCGTCATCTCCCGTACAGGGATATCTACCCAACTAAACACACCCTTGTAGTTGCAAGGTTTTCTTCTACCGTGTATAAACTCTTTTTTCTATCTTAATTGAAAGACAGCATCTCTTAAAAAAAGTTACAAGGTTTTCACGTGGTGCATCTCATGTAAGGCCATGTATTATAATTGTTTTTTCCCCAATGCTAGTCTGTGGTATTGAAGTGTACCATATAATGGAGATATACTTGTGTAAAAGGCGACAGTAGAACGCTCTGCTGCAATACACAACACATACCTTTTTTGAGAAATTCAAAATATAAGAAAGCAGAACAAGTACTATTAGGCATATGTGACTTTACCATTACATATAACTAGAAAACGAAAACCCAATTGTACTCGTCCGATAGCTTTCGATAAACTAAAGTCGGAGTACCAGACGCTGTCCCAATGAATGGCAAAACAGGAATGCAACAGTGGCCCAGAATGCCAATACGAATGAGGCAGCACTGATAATATAAAGGACTAAATCATCAGTTGCCTCATCCACATCTCCCACTTCAATGGGGCCTATAATAAGAGAGCACTTGTTCTCCTCTGACAAATTGTGAAGGTTAGCGTTGCCTAAGTAGCTGTCCCCACCGAACGAGCTGAACTGGCCAAGGTTTGGTATGCACCCTGACAAGTTGTTGTAGGCAACAGAGAACACCTCCAAAGATGACATTTGGGTCAATTGCCAGGGTATCGGTCCACTGAGCTCGTTATGGGACAAATCTAGGCTTTCTATGGCGCTCATGTTTGCAATGGTAGCTGGAATCTGGCCAATAAAGAAATTGTGCGATAGATTGAGGGACTTGACATGGCTCAGATTTCCTATCTCCCATGGGATCTCCCCTGATAGCATGTTTTCCGATAAGTCGATGCCAAACATTAGATTGAAGAAACCGGGGCTGAATGTGTAAACATGCCCTTTAGTGGAGAAGGTGAAGCCATGGAGGAGGGTATGATTTATATGATAGACCCAGTACGAGAAATACGGATACCCCTTGTCATGCCCCACAGGGAATCCAAATGAGATGCCACCTATGCAAGGTGGTAATGAACCCGAAAGTCTATTGTGCGACAGGTCAATAATATTCAAGTAAAGGAGATGACACAGGTCTGCGGAGATCTGCCCCTCAAACATATTCATACCCAATTGGAGTAACTTTATTTGAGAAAGATGTTGTATCCAATCAATACGGCCCTTGAACTGGTTATAACTTAGATCTAAAGCAATGACAGAGGAGCTGTTGAAAAAATAACTAGGAAAGCCTGAGAGGGCATTGCTCGACATGTTCAAAAAGAATAGTGGTAACTTGCTGCTACAGTTTGGTATAAACCCTTGGAAGTCGTTGTCTGATATATCCAAATAGTTAAGACCAGTCATATTGCAAATCGTTGGATAAATTTGACCACTTAAATTATTAGTAGCAACACTCAAAGATCGTAAGGAAGGAATATTCCAAAATGATACATCAAGTTCGCCGGACAATTTATTATCATGAAAATCCATGATTAACATAAAACCTGATAGATTGTTAGGCAATGCTCCTTCAAAATAGTTGCTATCAAGGTATATTACTTCAACACCAGAGAAACAATTATTAGCCCCACCAAGTATCGGACCCCCGAGACGGTTGTTTGAGAGCTTCAGGAATCCCAGCGACGAACAATCAGTGAACAAGCAAGATGGCACCTCCCCTGTAAGTTTATTGTTTGACAAGTCTACAAATTCCAAGTTGCTAATATTGCACAGAGATGAAGGTAAACGTCCAGAAATATTGTTATAAGAAGCATCTAGAACTGTTAGATTGGGAAACACTGAGCTGATGTCCATTGGCAGCTGTCCCATGAAAAAGTTCATAGATATGTTGATCATTTGGAGATTAGATTGTTGCTGCCACATCAGATCCAATGATCCTACTAGCGAGTTATTTCCAAGATCCAGATGAATCAGAGCTGTTTCATTTGAAAACATCCAGTTAGGCAGGCTCCCTGCCAAGTTGTTGTTGGATAGATGAAGGATTTGCATTTTACGTTGTCTGACAAATAAATTCGGTCCCGCAATGATACTATTGTCAAGGTTACACCCAGAGAGCATTAGTACTCGCAGTTGAAATGATGGAGTCACGCTTGTAAGGAACTTGACATCAATAGCCAATTCAGTATTCCACGATAAGTCTACCTCCTTTAACATGGTGCAGTTCCGTAGCCAAAAGAAATCAAACTTCCCATTTAGATTATTTGCTGCCAACTTGAGAGTTTTAAGGCACAAAGAAATATTCGAAGACACGCTTATAGGTATATGCCCTTGAAGGATATTTTCTGAAAGGTCCAAGTATTCAAGGCGTGGAAGCTCAAATAACCAAGCTGGGATGCTTCCATTCAATTGATTGTATGCTAGACGAAATTCTCTCAAGTTCTTGAGATTTCTAATGGCTGTCATCATGCAAACATAAGGTGAAATAAAAAAAGGTTCTTTTTAACTATGAATGGGGGCTTTAATTTGACACAAAGTCGCATGAACAAAGTAGTTGTGCAGGGAGCTACGTACGTACCATCAAAATTTTCAAGACAAGCCTGATTCCAAGATAAATCCAGCAGCTCAAGCTCATGAAACGAGGAAAAGATGGTCAAATTGAGATTCCAGCATGGAGATCCAAAGTACTGGGAGTATATATTGTCGAGGTCGAGACCCGACACTCGTGTGCTGTTGTTGCAAGTGATTCTCTCCCAGGTGCAGCAGTCCTCAATCCGTCCCCACGTCTCGACTTCGAAACTTTTGGCTTCCAACAAGGAGGATCTGATGCGCATAAGAGCAATCCTCTCCTCAACAAAGCAGGCACCTGCCATGTGAATCATGAACTGGAAAACGAATAGGACGCAAACCATGGTGCCCCGCCGTGGGAAGTGGCAGCTCATTGTTATTTTGTTGGTGAGTGTAAGTGGCAAGAGAATGAAAAGGGGATTTTTGGTTATTTGGCCCCTAGGCCGGACAAACCATGGTGATATATAGATAGATAGACTCCAGTGGTTTTTGAGGGAGAGCGAGCCAATATACGCGCTTCTCCTTTTGAACTGCAACCGTGAAAGCTGTTGGTTTACGGGTGGCTGTGTTTGTTCAGCTTTGAAAATGTTTCTGCTGCTAAAAGCAGAATATCAACCAAACGGATGAAATCTGAAGCTGTTTTTTTAAAAACAATTGCTTTCAAAAGTATATTTTTTGCAGCACCTTAGATCCTATTTTTGGCTTTTAGCTTTCTGCTTTTCGAAATGAGTGTAAATAGAGAAATATTTCACAGCTATATCAAGAGAAATAAATAGGTTTTATAGCTGTTTCAACTAAATAGATTACAGTTTTCCACAGCACATAGGACAACGGTTTTTTCAACATTCACAGCTGAACCAAACATACCATATATATAATATTCGTCAACAGGCAACTCACACTAGAAAGCAGTGATGATTTCATGAAGAACACAAGTGTTGTGGTATCATACTTTGCACATGTATTATATTATCCTTGACAGGTATACTTTATTTACCAAGCTTTGATTGCAGCGGTATCGTAACAATTGACGCGAACAGTTACGTGTTTTCTTCAAGCTATACACTTGGGTCATGATCTAGTCTTATAATTGATGCTCCCTCCATCCCATAATAAATAAGTTTCTAAAACTTTTTGGACAGATTAAGGATGTTGGCAAAAGACAAATGCACCATCATCTTCTTTCCTTTTCTGGAGGATATCTCTTGGATTTGGCGATTATTATTTGCATGCAACCATGATTAGCTTCCATATTAGGAGACAATATGTTCCATGTTTGTGTAGAATGTTATTTATTTTTGGACAAATTTTGAACCTTAGAATCTTATTTATCATGGGATGGAGGGAGTAGTTAATATTATGTTAGGCTCTCTCCTATCTTATTGTATTTAGATTGTGTTTTTATACAGTGATCAAAAGTAAATTCATGGTCATTATATCAACTTAATAAAATCGTTTCTTTATGAAAAAAAAAGTGAAGCAATCGAGTGTGAAAGAATGTTCCATGTCTTCTGCCAGCCACGACCACAACTCACGATAGTCTTTTCAATAAGGCCTCGTTTAGATCCAAAAATTTTTGGATTTTGGCTACTGTAGCACTTTCATTTGTATTTGATAATTAGTGTCTAATTATGGACTAATTAGGTTCAAAAGTTTCGTCTCGCGATTTCTCACCCAACTGTACAATTAGTTTTTTTTCTACATTTAGTACTCCATACATATGCCGCAAGATTCGATGTGACGGGTACTACGTAAAATTTTTTGGAATCTAAACGGGGCCTAAGCTAGTCTTTTCTGCAGCGATTTAATTATCTGGGTGGCGACTGTTGTCGGCTTGTCGTCGAGTAGTCGTCCAGGAGTGAAAGGAGATAGAGAAGATGGGTGTGGGTGATACGGTTGATACGGGAAGGGGGCAGGGTTGGCCTTTTGGGACCTAATGGGGTGGGTACGAAGCACGTCCTGGCTAATATATACACTAATAGCTACTTGCAACCATGACAACGAAACGTAACCAGAGAAAAATCGAGAAATAAACAAAGCGGTAAATATAGCTTTAACAGTGACGGTGTGAATGTACAGCAGCAGGACATGCGCATGGTGCGGCAAAAAGTGCTGTTCAACGCTGCATTCAGGTAGGTGCGCACTACTACTACTCTTTTTACTGTCGTGATGACTGGAAATGGCCGATCTTTAATTGGAGTCTTGCCGCACTGCGTACGCGCGCTATAGTTCTCACCCATCCGACTAGGATTTTGGGTTTGATTAATTAGACCTATCTATAAGCCGCACCGGCTCGTGCAGTGGCGTGCATAGTACCACTATTTAAATGTCTATATAAACAATCCACAATGAGCTATAGTTAACATAAGCAACTGATTAAATGTATTATTTAGAAGATATCTCAATTCAGTGCATATTTATACAACAAACATAATGGGATTTGATATTTTTACCTGAAAAATAGAATTTGTTCAGGCAACGGCTCTAAGATGAAGATCCAACAGATCAGATGTACGAATCTTGAAGAAAGATCAAAGGATCATGTTATCGCCTGACCAAAGAGAGATTTTCAGGCGCCTGTATTTTAGGAAAAGTGTAATAAAAAAATGAAGTGGTACGTAAAAATAAGTATCTAATTAATTATAGACGATCATTTTGGTTCGGTGGCGGTAGCTTCACCACAGAAATAGAGGGGGGCAGTTCATATAATTATGAGTTATATAAACAAAATTAAGGAGCAGTACCGATTTTACCGTTCAACTAGTGGAAAATTGCATTCACAGGGGTGGCCATGGCCCACTTTGGTCTTAACCAAGATTCACCTCTGATTTGGTTCATCCATGCCTATCGTATTTTCTACGTTAGCAAGCGAACCTGAACGTATAGATGAAAGTTCAAATATTTAAAATTAGTATGGGATGCAATATAAAACTATAATTTATTAGTGAACAAAAATTGATAACATGGAACACAACATACTAGAAATAAAATGGATTTCAATTTATTGGTCATTTTCTTTGTGTAATTCTAGTTGAAGTCTATATATTGTAGCATAAATAACTCATGAATTCAATTTGTTCAACTGAAAATTTGAAATAGAGAGGATTGGACCTCGACATAGAGGCTGTCAAATGAGGAATGAAACACTGACCAGCTTCATTACTTGTTTGGCTACTGTCCAACACCAATGCACCACGTCTCGTCATCTCCTCCACTGCCAGATCGATCAACTAGCACCATAGGGCTGAGGATTAAAACGGACGGAAACGAACGGAAAATACCTTTATCGTTTTTGTTTTCATATTTTTTTGACGGAAACAGGAGTGGGAGCTGGACAGCCGGAAGCGGAAACGGTAGCGGGATAAACGATAATACGAAAACGGATAAATACGATCGAAAAATAGACGGAAACAGACGGTAAGCGGAAACTTAGACCGGGATTACATGCCACATGAACTCTCACACATATATTAAAGTTAATAAACAATTCCTTTGCAAAAAGAGTGAATAAATAAATAATTTAAGACACATCATAAATCACTTGGATTAATCTGCTCATTAGCTTGCTTACCGTTCGTGCGTGTGCTGCTGATACTAGGCGCCTCAGCGCCTGTACTGCTACCTGTGTGCTATACGCTATACGGAAGTGCTGCATGCCACATGGGCCACGGCCACACACCAGCAATTAATACTTTTAAAAAAAACACTAACAACATGGAAAAGTTCACACTAGCAGTAGCAGGCTTCCTACTAGTAATTAGCAAAGGGTACATGATACGGAAGTTAGATGAAATAGATGGGCCGAACCAGTAGGCCTCATGTTTACGAAGCATGCCAGCAAGTTATCCTGGATAAGCTGTAAACAGGATGAATACAGGATTATCCCAGTCAAAAACGGTATTCCATAAATATGGACGGAAAAACCCTCATCCTGTTTTCGATCCCGGTCCCGGTGCATCCCGTCCCATTTTCGGTCCCGTTTCCGTATTTTTCCAGAAAAACGAAAACGGTCGGGATAAAACGTAAACGGTTGCGGACGAAACGGGATCTATCCCGTCCGTTTTCAACCTTACATAGGACCCACTCGCTTGTTGCCTCACCGGACATCGGTAGTGTTGGCGTCTAGGAACAGCCTCCAGGGCCCAGGCACTTTGTCCAGGTTGGGCCACCACGCCCCCGCTAGGGTTGATTGGCGCCTGGTGAGTGGGAGTGACCGAAGGAGGGAGTGCGAGACCCAAGCAAGAAGGTAAAGGCAAGAGTGAGTGTGAGATTATAGAAGAGGCTGTGGTAACCTCAAGTTATATTTTAGCCTAATGATCACTACTCCCTCCATCCCTTAAAAAAGTTCTTTCTGAAGGTTTGGAGTTCTCACAAAGGAATTCGTTTTAGCTGTAGCACCGTGACACGAGACTAGTTTGCCCCTGCGTACTCTTGGTTTCGAGCGCATGATTAACGGCCTCTCGTTTCCGGCGCACGCACTCATTAACACCCGGAAAGCCGCTGGCGAGCGCTGCATGCACCTGAAAAACCGCTGGGGACCGCTGCATGCAACGAGTACGCCCACATGAGCGCCGTGCAAAAAAGGTCGAACCCGCACCCGCTTGCTAAGAGTGCGCCTCTGTAGCCGGTAGAAGAGAGGTGGATATTCATCTAATGGGTGCCCAGGAGTCTATTTAATAAGGGAAAACAGAGAAAAATAGCCTTTAATTAATCACTCCTTGGTATCATATAAATCATGTCCAAAACGAACTTATTTCTGGGATGGATCGGAGGGATTACATCTCAAAGACTAGGGAGGTCCTCCTCCATGGCTCAAAATATTATTTTGTTTCATCCATGTGCGGTAGTGCTTGCAATTATACATCAATATAGACATGTCATAATATTTTAGTTAAAATGTATTAGTCTCTTTCAAACTAACAGTTGAATCAAAATTTTATTTTATGTTGGTTTTTCTATATCAGTAGTCAAAGGAATAGGTAAATTTTCTATGTGCGGTAGTGTTTTATTTACGGTTGTTTCAAGGGCGATAGAGATATGAGCTAGGTTTTATAGTTGTTTGAACCAAATAGTTTACAGTTTTCCACAGCATATAACATACATGGCTCACAACTGAACCAAACAGATTATATATAATATACCATCAAAAGGTAGCTCACTAATGATGAGTGATGATTCCATGAAGGACACGAGTGTTGTGGTACCATACTTGGCACATTGATTTCTCTTATATCATCCTCGATAGGCATACTTCACTTCTCAAGCTTTGGTTGTAGCCGAATCGTCACAATAATTGACGCGGACGTGTTTTTCCCCTGGTTAGACACTTAGGTCACGATCTAGT